CTTTATTCAGGCCAAACTCCCATGTATGTCAATAGGATTTGAACCTGAATAAAGGCTGAGTAAAAATGGTGTAAAGACTTCAGGATTTGTCCTAAAAATTGGTGAAAAAATGTATCTGCTTTTTGTATATAGAAGATGCTAATTTGCAATTTTAGGGCATGTTCCTGATCTTATTCAAGTGAATGGAAAGTTACCATTTACTTGAGCAGGGGCAGGATTAGGTTCTCCTTGTGTGTATGTTTCCATCACCAATGCTTATTTCAACTTTGTCTCTTTCTATTTTATCTCTTTATGCTTATCGAAGGGCAAAGAGAAAAGAAAATCGCTCTTTAACTCTTCCTTAAATGTGCAATTTGAGACAAAACATTAGAAAATACTCTTACAGTATACTAATTTGGCAAATATGGAATGATCAAGATGGACCAAAGGCAAGATGGACCAAAGACAAAAGACAAAACATAAATGAATTGGCATGCCTGACATAATAAATAATAATAATAATTAATAATCAATACTAAGGGCTGCCACACAAGCCTCTCAAAGCATTTTTCAGTGGAACTTGCACTTCTAATTCACTTGGGCATTTTGGAAACCCCTCTACCCGTAGTCACTTAGTGAGTCAATGACAGAGAAGAAAATAGAACCCAGCTGTCTTGTACTAGACAATACTGCAACTCCATTGTGATTACTAAGTGCTATATAAACCACACAAGTGTTTAAAAAACTGAGATAGTAAAATCAAGTAGAAATGTCTTAATATGAAATTGCAGTTTTCTCTTTAATATCTCAGTGTGAAGTTCCTGTTGCCTCTATTGACTATCAGATCTTAATGTGAAACTATGACAATAAGAACTATGATGAGTTTTTTAAGGGAGATATGAGGGCTGTATAAAGTAGCTTGCAAATGCAATACATAAATATATACTATGCTTTGTCAAGCTGAAAATTGCACTGTAAACCAACTGCTTTTATAAGTAGTCTTGCAATAAAGAAACAGACTTGACCACTTCTACAGTGATTCCTAGCTGGTGTCAGAACATGACAATTCTGTTGTACTGGGTCAGCAGTGAATACTTCACTCAAATGGTGCAAAGTCAGCTGGTACTTAATTTTTTATCTCCTCAAGAGTGCATTCACTGACTTTATCACTGAGAAGAATGACTCCCTTGCCTAGTGTGATCAAGATCTGCAAATTTGCTGCATCAGCCTATTTAGCCTAGACTGCTACTTGGTTGGTAGGGTTTAGATCTGCTCATATGGCATAGATGTCAGTTCTCTAATAGGCTAGGTGAACCTAGGAAAAGCTTGCCTTTGGGAGCAAACTCACTTTTAGCCCCATGAAACTTAGGAAAGAGAAAACTCTACAAGTCACCTAGTTTTGTCCACTTGAGGCCCCATTGCGTAACCAACATTGTCCCCTAGGAAGGGGACTAGATGGGATTTCTTTTGAAGCCCATGCTTTAATCACATAGAGGGGCCATATGTGACATAAGTCAATCCATTGTCCCAGGCACTGAATACCACCTCTGCTGTGACTCAAAATCACATCTTAGGTTCAGGGATGTCACAGCAGAGCACCAAGTCCCAGAGTGGCTTTGTCATTCCTTGCTTTGAGCCATGAGTTTTTAAATAGACTTAAAATTAAAACAAACCTGTGCCCTACATCCTCTCTTTCTCCCCCTTCTTTTGCCCAGCCTTTCATTTTCCAACCCCAATTCCCAGAAAGATTTTGTCAAAAATCCATGAATTCCTAGTGTTTCCACCAAGTCACACGTCATTCCTTGGTGCTGGTTTCAGCTGACTACTCAAAGGAGGTCCAGAGCTGAGTACCAGTGGAGCTGGGTCAATGATCTTTTCTCTCCCTCTTGTCTCTGCCACACCTGGCCCAAATAACCCAATACATTTACTGAGCAGCAGGAAGGTGACCTGATTCTGAGTCTAACCAGCAAAGTGGTTATTAATGTGAGCCAACTGAAGCTTGTTGATCAATGTTCCTGTATCTGCCAACCTGCTTCTTTTAGCTCTATAGCTTATATGAATGAAGGAATACTTAGCTGTCTCTTCCCTCATGTCTGAGGCTAGTTCCAAAGTACTTAATAATGAACAGACACTACATGCTTCCGTTTTTTAATATTTGTTCTTAAAAGTCTTTAGTTTATTTAACTCATGTTTTAGGCTACTCTGGTAACCATTTAAAAATATCTGATATATGTATGCATTTGAGATATGTATTTCATACTTTATCAGTCAGTCTTTTGGAAACATTTTGGGCCTCCTAACCCAGAGTAATTGTGGGCCTGATCCAAAGCCCACCAAAGTCAATGGGCATCTTTCCACTGATTTCAGTGGGCTTTGGATTAGGCCCTATGTTTTTCAGAGTCGAATAGTATACTACATAGACCACAAAAACGATGTTTAAAGTATAAAGGGTTTAACTTAAACCTACAAAAGCAGAGTGTCAGTGTTACAACTTAACCCTTCGCATTCTGGCATTTTCCAGACTGCCAACCAAATGAACACTTTAGGAGGAGGTGTATATATATGTCTGCAGCACCCAGAGGGTTAATCCACCCCATTGTGCATAAGTGTTGGAGCTCTTATGGTATGTAAGATCACACACAGTTTGGAGTTGTTTTGTATTCTTCTTAATATACATTCTCAGGAAGCATCTTCCTTGGTGCTGTTAGGGTATCTGGTGTGAATGTGTATGAAGACTAGTTCTCTTATTTGTATTATGAATTAAATACACATTTGTGTACCATTTATCCATAGAGAGTGCATGTTAAAAGCTTTTATAACTTGTTCCTATTAATGCACGGTTGCCACTTTTTAAACTTTTAATATTCACCCATTCTCAGTTTTTGTTGTAAATCCCAAAAGAGGCTAATTCCCTTTATGGACTCATGGTCTGACAAATGTCCTTTTAATAATGAAGTTTTTGGAGTTTTAGGGGAGGGGGGGCAGGGAGGAAAGCATCTTAAAGGGGTAAATTTCTATATTACATTTTCAGTCTTAACAGGCTTTTAAAAAATGGTTTAAAAATTGCTCTGAAGCTGAGCTCTTTTATGTGACATTTCAGCTAGTGCAAATTTTTATAGCTGAGTAATAAACCCCTACAAATAGGGGTTTCTAATGGGAACACTGATAGATCACTAACTACAGCAGTATTATTGGGCACCAATATAAGAGGGATGATTATTTAAAAACATGGCATTTGTATCCAACTGCATGTTTATCAGTGTTGTCTATAGGAAACGTCATTAAAATGTTCCATTGTTTGAATTTTACAAAAATTGTAGGAAAGATGGAGATGTTCAAAAGCATCATTTTCTTTTGTAAAGAACATATATATATATATATATATAGAGAGAGAGAGAGAGAGAGAGAGAGAGTATTAGAAATTATCTACTTATTAAAAAAGATGCATAGAGCATGTCTTTGTCTATGAACAACAGCTGCAAATTGTTAAAGGTTAAATATTAATGAGGTAATATTAAACATAATGAGGTAACTTTAGCTACAGGTAGGATTTTAATTGCACTTATTCTGCCCATATTCTTTGATATTACTGATGACAGAAATACTAAGACATCAGAAATAGAAGTTGATAGTTACTTAAAAACAAATAAAGCTTCTTAATTTATACCCACTTGACTATGTACATCTGAGTGAGGTAATTTTATTCATACTAAAACAAATAATAATAATAGCCCAGTTATAATTAAATATTAACAATATGAACTTGTGGGGGGAGGAGCAGGAGAAAGTAAAATTAACTTTTGAAGAAGAACTAAATACTTTTTGCAAACAAGTTAGGGCTATATTTTTATTTATTTATTTATTTTTTTGCCTCTCGAATTCTTTATTGACCTGTTGATTCAGAGGTTGTAGCTAGTATTCTTAACTACACTATGAGAATGATACAATTATTACACTAAGGATATAAAAAAGGAGCAATTTAAAGATAAATCCATTTAGGCAGCAGCAGCAGGACATTTTGTGTGACAATATTTAGCATGATTAAAAATTTAATCAGAATAACAGCTATTTACATTCAGTTACTTCAAAGTAATTATTCTAAAGCAGGCAAAATACTTAGATGATAATTTAATAATGTTTTCCTCCGGTATAGGTGCCAAAACCTATGCATAAATTTCACAATTTGTGCTGAGAAAAAAATCCTAACAAACAGTATAAAAGCAAAGTCACTGAGCACTTTCTCTCCACACCAATGAGTTTCACTTTTGAGGGGAAGAGAATCATAAATCATAATAAACCACAAGTATTAATATGTCTCTGTTTAGGAATCGTGCAGTGCCTGTATTTCCATTTGGTTGAACAAGACCAGGGGCTGGTCCTACACTTCTTACTGAAGTCAATGGCAGTTTTGCTTGAATAAGGAGTGTTTAGTGGCAGTTTTGCCAGAGTAAGGAGTGCAAGACTGGGCCCTAGCTGTGCAAAAGAGACCCACAATTTCAAATGTATTACCTTTGTTAACTTCTCAGGCTAGTTTTTTCCTCAGCTTCAAGGATCTTAATTATAACATTTGCTGGTTCAAAGATTAACATTTAGCATTCCTGGAAAGGCTTTCTGGACACTAGTAACCTGATCAGTATGGTCTTCTTTTGGTCTCTTTCTCTCTCTCTCTGGTTCTTTGTACTGAAGGAGAGATGATAGTATCTGGCACATTCCTTGGATGACTTGAAGATAGCAGCCTTCTGTGTTTGGGGCTGAAAGATTGTGAACTCTGTGTTAGCAGAAATGCCACACAGGGGAGGTGAATAGAACATTAAAAAAGCTTTAGCTTTAGGTAGTGCAGTGCAAGCAGAGTTGAATTTGAGAGCTGGGACTTAAGTGGACATTTGTCCCTGCGTTCCTCCTTAATAAAATCTGAGTGTTAACTGTGGATAAGGGCATTTGAGAGATCACTAAAAATGAATCATTAGAGTGCCCAGAAGAGCTTTATTATGATGTACTGTGAAGAACTTTATAATATACTATGTACTTTTATTATGTGCTTATCAGATGCATGTACGTGTTACTGAGTATTATAAAAGTAAATTGTTTTGTCCTTTGCTGTAGAGCCAAAGCAATTCGTTGTATTAACATAACAAAACTTTTAAAAAATCTAATTTTCTATTACCCTGTGAGAAAGGACTGTTAAATAGAAACCACAAGTTTCATGACCACAAACATTTTTCTTGTGTATGTATATATTTAATTTGAAAATCCTTGGCACAGAAATACTGACTGACCAAACTGAGTTAAAATCAAAATTACCAGCATGATATCAGATTTCAAGATTGACTCCTAATAGGTGGGGCCTAGAAAGGTCTTGTAATTACAGTTTGGTTGTTGGGCAGTGTTCATAGCAAGCAGAATCACAGGAATGAGTCTCTTCCTGTAATACCACAAGGATGTTGCTGCGGATCTGTTAATCAAAGTAAAAATACTATGGAAAATAAATTATTAAACTATACTAGTATACTAACTTGCCAGATCCAAGGAAAAAAAATGCAGCCACATTTACATATGTGTCCATCTGTCTGTTTTTACACTTTATGTCTCCAGCCAGTGGGTGAAGTGGTTTTAATCCAAGCTGCAGTCTGATTTTCCTTCTAACATCATATTTTTATGTGTAAATTATTTGTAACTGGATATACATTTTCTTGACAGTTGCTAGTTCTAAATTGTTCTTTTAAATAATCTCATCTATCTGGCCATGGTAGTTTAAACTGGAGTAAGCAGCAGAGTTCTCCATGGATAATTTTGTTAGTTAGCAGATTGTTACCATCTCAATGTTGCTGAAATCCCTAATCTCAGGTCAGCGTGAAGCTGCAGTGGTTACAATCCTGTTGCCTGATGTGGTGTGAATGGAAGTGCTTTCTGTCAGAAACATGTGGTCTCTTCAGTGGAGAGCCTGCGTAAATCCTGTGTAAATAGAGGGAGGCTAACAAAGGATGAGCCCCTGCAGCTCAGAGCATTTGGAGCCATTTGGGGGCTGAATTTGCTAAATGCTGCTTATACAGCCTGAAAAGTTGAAGAGAAAGGAGCATAAAATCCCTTCTTTTTTCTCTTTCTGCTCATACCCTGGGGGGAGGGTGTTAAGGGCCAGAGAAGCCTGAGGTAAGCCTATGAAGACTGTTTTTTCAGTGCTCTTTTGAGTGTGAAAAAGGTGGCATGGGTCACTGTCCCCTCTTTAATGTCGGAAACCCACACAGTCAGTAAATGTTGCATGTAAACTAAAGCATTTCATCTCTTCTCCTGCACTCCATGGCAGTGGGCCATGAACTAGTCACTCGAAAATCACAGAAAAATTTCACTTTAACATGTCCAGACAGTTTAGCACAGCAGGATGGTAAGAGAGATCAGTAATTAGCAGGTTTCCTTACAGTTCCCCATGTCCATATCAGAACATTTTCCCCACCTGATGTGAAAAAATGTTAGATTATAAAGTACTAAACATGAATCTATTGATTTTTTTATCCCAGCACACATAAGCCTTCTCCCAAAACAAAAGGCTACACAAATATTTGATCAGCATTTTAGTTTAAACCATAGTCCTTGTGAAACTGCATTCGCTTCACAAGTAAACCTCAGCTTTAAAAGCTGATAATTATGAACACCAAAAAAACCCTAATACTAAACGAAAAAACACCAGTCTCTGCTTTTCTCTTAATTTCAAACTTATTTCCAAAAAATAAAAAATAAAAAAAGGAGCCAGGAAAATAATAAAGGGGAAAATATGATAAAAATTAAAGTTCCAGGAGTTATTTCTGCAGGATCTCTTCAACCACCAACTTCAATAGCATATGTAGACAACAGAAAACCTCAAAAATACCTGAAACATCTTTCCCCTCCCTAAAGTAAACAAATTGAATATTTATAATAAATACCTCACTGAAAGGGATAGAATGTAAAGAATAAAGAAAGACACCCCCCAGGAACAGAAAATATCACATTCAACTTTTTTTATTCTCCCTCTGGGGATGGTCAGTATATCCTTTGGTATTTTGCCATCGACATATGTAATTCTTTTTCGAGTGAGGGTCTTATATGCATTCCAAACGTGGGTGCGCATGTGCACCATGCGTCAGATCTGGAAGGTTTTCTTAGCAGGTCATATTGACCCGCATGTGCGTCGTGTGTCCCCTTGTGCCCTCAGCCCAGGGTATAATAGGCCCTGTGGGTCAGTGCCTCTCCAGTTCCCTCTTACTGCCACATGGCCTCAGACAGAACCCCTGTTCCTTCACACTCTTAACTTGCTAAGAGAGTGATCTACTTTCCATTTCCTGTATATAGTTGTATATAGCTGTTCTTTTTAGCGTTCTGTAGTTGTTCAACATATGTAATTCCTTCACCCATTGCCAAGTGTCGCAAGGGAGTATATCGTTAACTAAAGCCTGCAGACAGGGGCTTGTTCCTTACTGATGGAAACACACTAAAATGCCACGAAGGGAGGAAGGGTGGCTTTGTGATAAAGGCACCACACTGGGACTCAGGAAACCTAAGTTCTATGCCTGCTCTTTGAGTGACTTTCTGGGTGATCTTGTACCAATCGCTGCAGGTTCACATTCTGAAGGGCCCTTAGTTGGGTGCACA